GTTTTATAAATTTTTTTGCCTCTTAGGTAATCAAGAGAAAGGTATTACTGTGACCCTTTAATTTCGGGCAACATAAAAAATAAATCGAGCCCCACGATCACCGAGCAAATAAAAAGCCCGGCTAATGTGAACCATACACAAAACACCTCAAACTTAACTAGCTTTCTAATTAAATCTCTCCCAGTACACATCCATATCCCTGCCTTAGACCATGTACAAGGACTGCTATTAGCCCTATGTTTTCAATACCAAATGGGTGCTCACGGTTAGGGTGCACTGAAGTCGCGGGTATATGATTCTCGGGGTAAATTAAAGTCGTGTAAACACCACTCGGATCGCCTAAAGATCAGCTTCTATAGCATCCGAGTAGTAGTGGAAGCTTTACATACTCTTAATCATCTTTTATACGTCCACAAATAAGAATAAGTTTGCTTTTTTGGTATTTCTAGGAGATTAATTAAATGATGTTCGTTGATTTAAAGGTTGAATCTCATAGCAGTCCATGTATTGTATGGTCTAAGATCACAGCACAATAAAACAAATTCAATTTTGATTTAAATTCCAGGTTCATCCTAATCTCTAGATAATTACATCAATCTTTTATAAAAATAAACAAAATACCCAATAAATCAAATCTAAACTGCCACAAATGAATTAACAAAACAAATTGATAAGGAAAAATGAAATGTAATTTTACTATTCTTAACGATTCTAGGAACTAATCTTTTTTACAACGAAACAAATGGATACAGGGTAGATACGCAAAATCGTTTTGTGCTTAATCGTAAGGAATTCCACCAGATTAATTAAATGAATTGAAATGAACATTTGATTAGTAAATGAACGACCCGTATTCACTTCAGGCGACTGGACCTATACCTAAACGTCCAACCCGACATTGTTTACACAACATTATGGAATATTATTTTCTTCTGAAGCTAACCTCTGAAATTATGATTGGGTTAGATCTACTGGAGACACACCGAATCACTGTGGAAGTGGATGTATACAACCGGAATAAGTAGAGCTTGCTCTTCCTTGTAAGTAGAGCTTGCTCTTCCTTGTAAATGCCCTATCTCGGTGGGGATATCTTCCATAGCTGAGAGTAGGTAACCCCAACATAATGATCTGCCTGCCATCTTGTTAAAATTTGGCAATTTTACAGGATTCTAAATTCAAACATTTCCCTTACCTTGCAATGTACCAGGGGACTAAACTCATTTTTTATTTTAAAAGGATTTTTAAATACCGTCCAATAGTTGCTGCAGAAAAGGACAATGTAAAATGGTAACCGTAACCACAACTGTTTAATAGCAATGGCAGAGGGATTAAAACATTTTAATCTCTCTAATGTGAGCATCGAATAATGAAATTACAAAAAGGTTTTTCCTCGGTAGTTGTATATCACGGCAACCCGTTAAAATTTGCATGCGTGGATACACTGCCCAAGTTTTGTATACGTATATGAGATTTTGGCTACAATTCATTCAGGAACTACGCATTTAATAATTGGGGTTGGAAAGCCTCAATATACCTAAACATGAAATTTACATAATATGAAATAATATATTCCGTTGAATATTAAGAAGTTTCTATTAAAATTGATTAATTAACGGTTGCGTAGCGAAAGCATGCATGAATGGAAGTTATAAAGCGTCCACGTTTTTACAGTTACAAGCTGCGTGACGCTGATAACCCTCGACGTTAAGGGAACTTTGCTTTTGACATATACTCTACTAACACGCACAACTAATCTCTGGAAATTGACAATTAGGAAATAGGTTTTATAGTTTTATGGGTAAAACAACGATGCTACCTTACAAGGTGAAGGTGGTTAGCGTAATTTAATTCGTTTCTGAGAATACTGGCAATAATGGCATAATCTGCCAATGCTTCGTTAATTTCATTAATTTTGAAAGGAAAATTTCGGGGGCAACTCTAAGATCAGCCAGAGCAAAATCCATCAAGCTTATATTGGATTGTAAGGTATAGAATTATGTTTTGACACATTTATACAAACTGTTAACCAATAATTTATGAGAGTAATTACAGGTATCGCACTAAGGTTTAAACTATTCTGAATTTTTTTTATTAAACCATGAAAAAGATGTCACACAAACAAATTGCTCAAAGCTCAGTTGGCAAAAAAACTTTTACTGCGTTAAAATTTCATTATGAGTAAGATAAAAGGGCTACACCATCGAGCGGTAACACAGAATAAATTGCGATGGAATGAAAGATTGTTTTTTAATATCTATAGAGCATTGTTTTTCTAATGGATTCCGGATGTCAGGAGACGAGATGTCGAGAATTTGGATCATATTCAATTATCTTAATTAGAGCTATTTGATTACAACTGCGAATTTGGCATGAGGTCTTTTCAGCATCGTGAAAACCGCATATCTTGGTCACATTTGGGAATGATTTAATACCCTCGATCCTGTTCGATTTGTAGGGCGGGAATTAAGCAGACGAATTAACGACATAAAGGGAATAGTGAAATCCGCGCGTTTATATCGCATTAATTGGAGTTGTGTTCGGTCGAGGACAGATTGATTAAACCCGCTGTGTTATTTTTTGATACAAAAAATTCAGCTGTGACACCATTAGGGAACAAAAGGAGATTAAACTTAATTTTGACGTAGTAAGCGTTGATTGAAATAATTCATTGATGGCTCCGTTATATGACATAGCTAATACAGAATCATATTGTACCCTATATCATTGCATTCGTATTAAAAAATGCTAGTTAATACAGTATGTCCTTTTTCCGGCCCATATAAAAATATGAAGTTGATAATTGTTTTTCAAAGAAGAAACGTCACAGTAACTATTTATTTATTTTTTTATTTATTATCCCTCTCTTGTTATGGGCCCTCAACAGGCTTGCGCCCAAATACAGAGTGATCCGCATAATGCTTTTTAGAGGGGCCCCTGCAGAAGGTCTTAAGTTGTTCTATACTACTCCGGTATTTACCTTACGAATTAGGAAAACTGCAGGAAAACCTAATTCGGAGTAGCCGGCAGAATGCTCGAAACTGGTCTAAGGTAATTTCCATCTTTGCCACAGATGAAAAATTCACCTCAACCCAGGTTCGAACACCCGACCTCCGGATTTATAACTCAACGCTCTACCATTGAGCCATAATGCCGGTCTCTGGGAACCATCTGGTAGAGCGTTGTACATAGCCTGAGCGAATGCGTGCCGTCGGGGATTGATAAGAATGGACCCCGGAATAGCAATCAGAATGCTGTTCAATGTAGACGAGTTCATAGATCGAAGTCAATAGAACGGTGAGAAGTGCTAGAATTTTCCATCATGCACCACCACACATCGCAAATGAGAACTGTAGGATTTTTCCTGTTGCACAACACATCCGGGTGAGATTTTTCTGTCTGTGGATGAAGGGTGTGTAATTTCGAAGAGTTTTCCATCCTACTATAAATTCGCATGTTCTTGCTCGCATCGGTAGTAGACAACAACCCCCCGTTTTTGATGTTTGATTGATCGCGCACGTAAATCACTATCAATGTAGCCCTCTGCGACAAATGTTGCTCTACAACTTTTGACCTGAACTTGAGATGCAAATAAAAGACAAAAGTGTACTAATTTTTTATGAACCCACCTCGAAGTTCAGTAAGGAAACGTTCCTGACACTCCCTTCTTTACGTCAAAACGTTCGCGTGTACCACTTGGGGTAGCAAGCAATTGAAGTAGTATCGAGCTCCATAGATGTCGTATTGATTGCGAATTCCCTTAGGTCGAGGTTCGAAATTGTGGTGTGTGAAGTTTACCAGAAAGGACAATTTTCCGAAATATGTGGACACATTTGCCTTACTGTCCGAACTAGACTGAACAGGTTTCCGTACTGGCTTTACACGGCTTTAGTTTTCTTTAGTTCAATGTTCGTTTTAGTTGATAATGGATTAAAATACTGCCGAGTTTAGAGTTGAAAATGCGCTTCGAAAGCATTCTGATTAATTAATTTGCCATCCCTAAAGTCTGCAATAAAAAATAGCGCACCCGCTCGAAAACTGTGACGTCACGAGTACAATGTTACCGATTCCTGCACTCAAATTGGTTCGCTTTTCTTCTCCGTCGCTCACCTGAATTTTGTTTAGAAACTCCGTTCTTCGTCTATCTCTATCAACACAAAAAATATATACCGGTCCGCTTGAAACTGGTGTCTTTTATTAATTTACAACACACCTAACCTTCTTGAGCTTAAAACTCGTGAACAACTTTGTTAAGCTGCCGCTGCGCGATAACTTCGCAACTTTCTCAATTAAAATGCTCATTAACTTCGCCAGAGCTTTTTCACCAACCACAGACCCCTATTCTTATCTTTTAACGCAATTTTCAAGAAGATGAGATGCGCTGTTGCGACTACTCCAAAGCAATCGTGTCTTGTTGAGCTTGACCTCTACGAGCTTTTAGATCCTTGATAAGCATGCGAATTTCTAGTGGTCTTTCAAAGCCTTTAAAGCCCTCAAGATCTGGCTACGCAAAAACAGACAATATGAATCCATGCAATTTAAGAATATTCTGTGAAATTCCGTGCTATCATTCCATTATCCATTTGTGGTCTTTAATTTCCCTCTTTTTAAAAGTATTTGTACTGCAACCTACCCTCGCATGAAAACGCTCAGTAATTTAGTGCGGTTTCTTGTTGAGCAATTTCAAAGAGAGACGTTTCTGTTTGAATTTTTATTTTATTTCCAAGCTTGCATATAAATATCATTGAGGAGAAATAATGTTGCCTTTTCCGTTTGACGGTATTTGCATCTTGTATCTTGTTTAAAGCGAAACAATAATAGTGGCGTATATTATTAATAACATGCTCCCCCATTTACGTGAAATTAATGCAAATGGATTAGTGAACCGTATTCGCCATTACAGTTTTATAATTCTGGATGCATGGAATGAAAATTGTATTTTTAGTAATTAGAGCTTATGCTTCAAAGAAGGTTTAGATTAATAATTCAATATTTGGTTTCAGAGTGTGTTGTAATGGAGGTATCGAATATCGCATGATTGACGCGGAAATCAATTCCACCGCATTGCTGTAAGTAGGAATAACATACGATTTGTGTTTTAGTTGTGGTTAAACTAAAAATAACCAAAATCAGTGCCAGAAATAATACAAATAGAGTTGCTAAAATACATAGGGTGTTACATTTAAAAAATATCAACTTTGAATCAAATCTCAGAAACGGATTCTATTCTATGTAAAAATATCTAAAATATGTAGTTTTTACATTTTTCTATCTTACATGATATGATAACATCCCAAAAAGTCTAACTTTTCTGTTTGTGGTACTAAAAGTTACACGAAAAATTGGCACAGGGTCGAGAAAATTGCAAGTCTTTATCTTTAAAAACAGCTGAGATACACTGCCGTCTCAATCAAAATAGAACACGCGGTACAATTCATATTCTGAATACCTAATAGTATCATACCAATAAATGACGGGCTTTGTATTCTGAAGTATTGGTATCATATATCTAAAACAAAAACGGGAGTTACCAGAAACCTGGTAACATATTGATTTGGCTGACCTGTTTCCCTACACATTTTTTATTATATTTTAATTTTATATTTACGTGGGCGAGGTTTCAGCCAAGGCTGCTCTACCAACCCAACCCCATTATACATTTACAAAATATATCCATGCCTTGGTAAATCGCTAGTGCTAATATTTTAGCACAAAAAATGGTCCAACTTTCTGTTATGAATCTTTAGGTGCACTAAATGAACTCAATTTTAACGCACGACAGAGTTTTTGATACCTTTTAGGGTTAATCATTATTTTTGAGGCATCCGCTCATAGATAAGGTGTTGTAGTATCTCAAGTTCTCGGTCTGTAAATGAGACTAACATTATTTTTTAAACTTTTCAATCGGAATTACACGGTCTAAATAAAAATGTAGAATAATTCTTATTGGACATTCTAATAGGGAATAATTTTGAGGAGAGGTAATAGAAGAATTTGCTATAACAAAAAAAGTTATGACTAATTTTCGGCTTTTTTTACTAGCGTTCTTAGACTATTTACAATCTACGGACTGTATGAAATATTAGTAGACTAACAAGAATAGCACAAACTTTCAGCAACGTTACAAAACCATCCAAGTATAACCCTAACAAATCTAAATTCCCACCCAATTTACACCCACATTAATTCCAAGTCGAGTCTTGTTAAAAAATCGTCACCAAATGGACATAAAGTCTCATTTTGTTTAGGTGTTCTTTATCCGGACTTGTATAACACAACGTTTTTTCCACGGCAAAACATTCTATAGTAATACAATAGCAAGAAGAAAACTGATATGTACGGTATATTTCGATTTTTTAGTTATTTTAGTGCTGTCTCTGCTATTGATTATTCAAGAACGAGACTATATACGACACTGTCAAGAAAATAGAGTTAAGGTAGGTACACACCTACAGGTGCACCTGTAGCAGCTGACTTGTCAAGTGGATCCGGGACTATGAATGAGTAAAAGCTGTCAGTTTTCGTAACTGCGAAATGACCTGACGCTTGTCGTGAAGGTTGACAGGTCGCAGGTGAACCTGCCACACCTCATCAACCATTGACTGGTAGGTGTGTAGGATTTCCTGGGTTAACGTGTCAGATGTCACCGTTAGATTGCTCCGTTTTCAAACATTTTTAACTAACTGAGTGTAGGGGTGGATTCAGAGGTGTTTTGACAGGTTGAGCTGACAGGTCATATGCGACGGGGGATTAGACAGGTGTGTACCTACCTTTAATTACATAAATTTAGTAGGATATTTTTATATCAACTTGTAAAGGTATATTCCCTGTTGTAGTCTATAGAAGCTATACCGAAGGTGAACAAAAAAATCCATTACACATCTCCTTGAACGCTATAAAAAACATTATTTGAACGTTAGGGGATGATATTTCAGTTTTAGTACCGATTAATAGTTAATAAATGTTGCATTCATAAAGGAGAACATTAACTGTTTCCTCGTTTCCCAGCCTTTAAGATACTCGTTACCTAAATATGTTTATAGCACGTACGTGAATAACTTATGAAGTTTGTTTTTTTACAGCGCACGCACGCTCCCGTGAGATAAAAGTTGCTATTTGTTTTTAAACTTTTCACGAACACGTGTCTTATAAAAGATTCACATATAATGGGCAGTTTCCTGACAAACGTCAATTAATTCACAGGAATCTGGTTAAATTTTAAAATTTCGCCCACTTTCGCATCTACCTCGTAACAGTAGCAGATGAAGGGATGTATTGACGTTGTAATTAACTCTTTAACTATGTGCAACTTCTTTTCTCTAATGTAAGAAACTTTAAAGGTAATGGAGCGACTAAGGTCAATGGTATTTGAATGTTATCATTTTAAAATTATCAACAAATTAACCACATTGTGTACTTTAATTGGCGTTTTCCTTTAGACTTAAAAGAATTTAAATGTAACTGTTAATTATCATTGTTTGTTTATGTAACGTAATTGAGTGTAATTGCTACAAACGTTTCACATTATTTATTTTGACCATAATGAGGTCTCAATGGTGTACTAAGTACTACCCCTAGTCTGGTGGAATATTTTTCGGAGCGCCACCTAAAACAATTGATTCATTCTTCTCGTACTCTGGGCCACTTTTCAGATTGAACACAATTTCCATTCTACAATCTGCAGAGATGTATTATTGTACGTATTCGTATGATAAAAATGGGCGCCGTGAACCGAAAGCTACAAAAGTGGATATGGCGAATAATTCGCACCCGAGTAATTCGTAGCGGCATAATTACCACAGATACTTCCCTTCCGGATAATCCGCATTGGGACAGTTCGCACCATGAAATTTAGTCTTCAAAAATTCGCATTAGAGATACTTCTTAAATGATTTTAGTATTTAGCAAACAACACATTGCAATTGCGCATACCAATTTTTCCAGTAGGAAGATGTACCATGCAGTGGGAATTCTAGGTGCGAATTAACCGCAAATTTTTTTAGTGCGAATTGATTGGGTGCGAAATATCGCGGTGCGGTTTATCTTTAAAGCGAAATTTTTCCTAGAACCATCGCTATTTATTTTTCATATTCCCTATATTGCAATTGTCTTTTTTTTTACTCTCGGAATAATTCGCACCTTGGCAGTTAACACCGAAGTAATACGCAACGGACTTACGAATTTCTTGGACAATTTGGCACTTGCATCTATAGCAATTACGGAGAAAGTTGAGGTTTTTATCTAAACTACCATCTAGTCGTCCTACCTTGGAAATACTGGTTTGCGTTTTAATTAGGTTTCGAGGAAATGGAAATTGGCTCATTGAAATTTTACCCGCGCTCGTAGCGGAAGAAGACCGCGCGCGCAGTTGACTCTGCCGTGGCTCAAAAACGAATTTTGACCTGAGCTCTCCGACAGCCCAAAACCGAATTTCGGGATCAGTCCCGACAAAATACCGCTAATTGGTCACATTTGATCATGAACGAATTGAATTCGCCCAGATCCACGAATGAAAATTAATCACTTCCCATGGACTCGAAGAGAGATCATTAGGCATACTACTGTTTTGACCACGCAAACCCCATTAAGACAGCCTTATCTACTCTCCACGCTCGAGATGGGAGACATTAACCGATTAAACGATGCTCATGCACACGCAAACCGGTGACACATAAAAAAAGGACCGCCAACTTTATTACGAACTTTTTTGAAAATCTAGATTTACTGAAATTTTGGAATGATTGATCCTTTAACGCTGTAACTAACTTGGGGTAGCTCGCGCACAATCATTGAGCTTTCAAAATGAAATAAAAACTATCGGAATAGTAATGGTAATTTAATTTAACAGAAAAATAAATAAAAGAACAAAATAATGGGGGAATGGCTGGACATATGCCCGCGAATGTTTCTGATCTAGTAAAACACTTCTCGAAATTCCCACGGGAACGGGAACGGGAATAAACGCGATTTTACACTTTACAGCCGAAACTGCGACAGATAGAGATTTGACATTTAAAACGTAGGATTCTTTGAACGGAATGGGGAAAAATAGATATACGACGTTGACTAATAGGCGGTACGAAATCATCGAGAACGATTAGAAAAAATAGTACGAAATAACAATACTGAAGAGTTTTATGGAATTATAATATAAAGGGTGTCCGAGAATGCTAGTACAGAACGCAGATTTTTCTAATTGATTCATAAAGTACAGTAAATGGACTGCTTTTAGCCGTACAAAATGGGTGGTCACGAATAGGGGGCACTTTAGTTGTGACATCGGGTAACTTCGGACAGACTCGTTTTACCTTGAAACTCACATACCCGGGTGATGTCTTTGACCATAATATGAGTTGCAATTAGCAGTCCATGTACTGTATGGTCTAAGATGGAATGGCTTATCGGGTAATAGTGGCCTCCATAATTCTGCTGGCACATTTGAACCCTTCATAAAATTTTCCATAATCGCCGTTTGATATGAATGTGGCTGAATTCCATTGCCTCGCGTCGCTCACAGAATTCCCTGCGTCGGACATGAAACGGCGACCATTCAAGTGCTTCTTCATGAATCCAAAAACGTGGAAATCGCACAGCGACACGTTAACCATGGTGGCAATTCTTCCCATTAAATTGTCCTGGTCGTAATTGAACTGAAGCTATTGTCATCATACATAGTAGCCATTCTGCGATTGGTTTCGATCGGATTCACCCCTTCAACTGGCGAGAAACGCACACCTCGCTTTTCCTCCTTCCACCCTGTATCCATATCCCAGCAATTATTGATCGCTGTAAGTACTGTCTGAGCGTCACCACGAGACGTTTTATTTGCAGCTTCAACTCCAGGGTGAGTACCAAATCCTTTTCTAATTTTTCATGCCGTGCAAGTTTCAAAGCTTGTTACGTTTCCACATCGTGAACACCTTCAATGAACGTCTGCAGCGCCATCTGCTCTATAAATATTTGCTTCGAGTTTCGCTCGATATTTGTGTTGTTTCGTTGCGTTTCAGATGCATCTAAAATGTAATCTCCACACCGAGCTTCTAACAGATACGATTTGTACAAGATCTTA